AAGAAGAATAAATAAAATTATAAAGAAATATTAATAATAAAAGTAATTAAAAACATTAATAATCTAAATTAATAATTGTGATACACACAATGATCATCTGAGTAATAATATACTAAATCTAGATATATTAAATATATAATAATAATCTGTATATCCAAAGTAAAAATGATTTTCTTGAAAATGTAATACAAAGCTAATCTGTTATACAGATAGCGCAAAATAAAGATCTAAGCTAAAAGAGATCTAAAAAGAGATAATCTAATCAAAATTGTTATACTGTAATTCTTCCAATCTTTTTTTTATTATCTGTATATTCCTATTTTTATCTTATATTTTCATTTATATATCTTCTATTTTAAAATATCATACTATATTATTATATCAATAATATCTTTATAAAATTATACTATTTTATATTATATTTTTCTTGTTATATTAAATTTACTTATTCTTACTTGTTATAATATATACTATTATTCATATATTTGATTAGTTTTTTTTGGAACTAGAAATTTAACTATTTTAAATTTTATTTTACATTTTATTAGTTAAGTTACAAATTAATTCTGGCTTGAGTAACTAATACATATTCTTCATCTATCAATATAATTGGTTAATTTACTCTTTACTATTTTTATTTTTCTCTCTATTTTAGCTAATCACTTTTATTATGATATTTTATATTAAACTGATCTGAAGATTTTTTTTGTCTCTATTATTTGTTTTTTCTTGCATATTAGCTGAGAATAATTTCTGATTGAGATCCAAATGCATAATCTTAGTATTTTTATTCAAGTTAGATAATTATCAGTTTGTAAACTATCTTTTTTTTCCTACTTCTGGTATGTCAATTTCTTTATTATTATATATTCTATTACTTCTTGCACATTTTAAGTTTTTTTATTTTCTTTTTCTTTTTACATTTCAAAATTTTTCTAATTCTTCTCTTTTATACTAATCTTTCAAATAGTCTAGATTAGCATATTAAAGAAATAACAAAGTCTCACACTGTAATATTGAGAATTTAGACTCTACTGCAAAGAAATTTCTTGAATCTAGACTTATCTCTTCTCAATATTTAAATTATTATTTTAAATAGGACATATAAACTGCATTTATCTTCACATTGCATGTTAAGATCATGCTATAATGTAAGCTTGGATGGATCCAGTTGGTGGCTGATCAGTTTGAACTATATTACTAGAAATATATTCTGGATGCTCTTACTATATAAATAAGCTTCTTTCTAGAAGAGCTATAATCTTTGTATTTTAGTTTAGCTTACTATGTATAGAGCTTAATCACACTATAGCATATTAAAATAAAATAATACTAATTACTAACAAAAAATAACTCTAATTCAATAATAAAAATTATTATAAAACTTATAATAAATCTCAAAAAATATTTATTTAAATTATAAAAATAGATCTATTCTGATAAAAATTATTAATCTAACAAAACCCTCAAAATCAATTTAAGAATCAAATGAGATATACAACTTTATATGACAAAATAAATAATTCTTTGATTTGCTTAAGAACTGGTTAAGAACAAAAAAATAAAGCCTGAAATACTATTAGATATTAAATATTAGTAAACAAAACCACATATAAAAGTAAAAAAGCCGAAACTAAATCTCTTTTTACTAAATACATGTAAATTCAAACCTGAAAATTAATTTGATATAGGAATAGCTTTAGTAAGTTTAACCAAAGGAGTTAACTAAGGACTGAAATTAAATTTTTTCAAATAGTTTTGGCAAGCATCATGTTAGAACTTAAAATAATTTTATTTAACACTTTTTTAAACTCCTCACTCAGCCCTTCGAGAGCTATTCTTTATATATAATTTGGTTATTATATAGCCAAATTATCTAGATTACAGATGTAATTCAATGCAGAATTCGAGAGATTATAGTACAAAGTATGAATTTTATAAAAAAACATGACTATGCTTCGAAATAAGGAACATAATAAAATTTAAAAAAAATTATTATGTAGAATACAAATTGGATCTTTGAAAAGTAGTAAATTAATAACAGTTCTTAGGCCAGCATGGTGGCGAAGTACCCGGGTCTTAATCATTGAGACGGGGTTACTATTTTGATCCTGTATACAGTGGCCAACGGTAACAAACAGTGGTTTTCACCATTCGAAATTATTGGTAATTCACAAATTCTTTGCCTTCTTCTTTGGGGCAGAATGCTAACGCCAACAAACGATGAACACGATATTTGTGAATATGACAATTCGGTAAATATCCTGCATATAATGATCCATAACTAATCAAGCCATTCTTCCTAAAGATGAATTTTGAATTAAGCTCGATTATTCATTGAGATCTTGTTCCGTGTAACATTCCGTCAGCTTTCTCTTACAGCCTTCTGTAATGCTATTTCCTGCGATTTTAAGTGTATTACTTGCTAAATCTGAACAATATTCCCATCTGCGCGATACGCCTAGAGCTACCATGACCAGTATTTGGAAATACTTTTACGTTCAGCATTCTCTTTAGAGGTTACCAATTCCAAATTAACGATTTATTTTTTGTGCAACTAAGATAAGGATGTTCGAAAGCTAAATCAATCCGTATATAAATCACACCTTTATTGGTCCAAGATTAAATACTATTTTATCTGAATCTGCTATAGATTAATAATACATATAATAACATTTGTATTTCAAATTTAATAATTTTTTTGGTACATAAATGTGTTGCTTATTAAAGTTATTATTATTTCAATACGAAAATCAAAAGATTATTTATTGTCATAGTTCTTTTTTGTTCAAGTGAATCGTTTTGTTTGCAAATTTGATATCACTATATTTATACGAGATATGTATGTATGAAAAAACAAAAATATACATGTCTTCAAGAGATAATTTTATACAGATTTAATATGATATTGTTAATACATGAATTAATAAATAAAACGAATAAAGATAATAGCTATTCTTTTTTCTTTTTCCAAATGGTACCGAACTTGGCACGTAAGCCGGATTTAACGCTCTTGTCACTACCACTCCTGGTCCGGCCAACAGTAGCATTATCAGATAATTCTCCAGGATCGGTATGCGTCGATATTATTGATGATGCTGAAGACTGGAGTTGCTCATTTACAATTTCTATTCGATTTCACGAATTAAAAAAATTATGTTTCAATGAATTTTCCCAAAAAAATCATCAGAATAAATGAATCATACCAAGAGGCTGTTGCATTCGAAAATCCATCGGCATTCCTCGATACTGATGATACATCATCATCGAAGCATGCATTGGTGAATGCGGCACCGTTCCAGGATTCACAGCATTAGGGGTTATTATTGCCGGTGCGGAAGTACGCTTAGGTTGCTGAAATTGTGGTTGCGGATTGAATTGCAGGGACGTTGGTGGCGAAGAAAATGGCTGCTGTGGTGAGGTTGGATTTTGAGGAATCATTATCGTGCCAGGATTAGCCATGGATAATGGATTTCGATAATGTTGCGGCGCAAATTGTTGCTGCTGTTGAAGAGTCTGAGGTTCAATATTTTGCCCATTAAAATTCGTATTCGCGAGTGATTGTGACAGGTTTGTATTTTGGAATGGTTCGTGAAAATTTGTGTATGCTATATATGTTAAATATCACGTTGAAATTAATCGAATTATATTCTAATCAAGAATGATAAGAATGATGTCATCGAATAAAGTCTCTTACATGCATTCGATTCTATGACTAGATAAAAAAATGAAGGTTGAAATTAGTCTTTTTTTATTGCCTTGAGAAATTCAAACAAAATTAATCCTTTTTCAGTCACCTTCATTATTGGTATCGGGACTTGGCGGCTTATATTCGTATTCGGAGTTTTCTACATCTTTGGCTAAGTAAAATTTGAATCACATTATTATAGAAAATTCCATAGTAAGACAGCCATAACATCTCTTACCTTTCCAAGACTGTTTTGGTGGCTTTGGTCTTGCTTTATCCAATTCTTTAATCAATTTATTCATTTCTTCAGCTGGATCGTTGCTAATCTCAATTTCATTTAAATCAGCTTCATCAAGGACAAATTGTTGAAGACTCATCGGTTTAGAAGTTTTCAGAAATGGAGAGGATTGAGATGATGGAATACTTTGTGTCGTGGGGTTAGAGACGACGGAAGCATGTCTTGACCAATTATTGTTATAATTATTGGGAGGAGGTTTATACATTCGTGGGAGAGGTGGCCCAAATTGTGGAGAATCCAGACTATCTGCTGATCCATGATGCGATAGCGGTTGCGAAGAAAAAGAATTTCTTCTTGAATTATCTTGAGAGGTTGCTGGTGAGGGTAATAAAGGGTACGCCGGAGTGGCGTTTGTTAGATAGCAGTCGGTATTAATCCTTAGATTTTCATTTTGAGTTCCAACTGAGTGATCGTATGTATTTTGCGGCAAAGCATTTAACGAGCCGCGTCGACGATTATCGATTGTTGGGGCTGCATTGGTGGGGGAGATTCGTGGAGACGAAATAACAGGAATCTTTTCTGAAAGTTCGGGATCAAGTTTGTGCATGACATTTTTACTCGAGTTTTTGACCGTTTTCGTGTCAATTGGTGGTGGAGGTGAAGACGGATTCTTCGATTGATTATTTGGTTCTACCGAGCTATTGTTCTCTTCTTTTAAACTATTAGACGATTGTAATACAATTGATTTTGATTCATTTTGTGAGTCTGATGTTTGTTTACTATCGTTCAAATTCGATGAATCCGTCGAATTTAAAGAATGACTCGTTAATTGTTGTCTCTTTTGTTCAATTGTAGGAACCGGCAGCGATTTCTCTTCGATACACTCGACCAGTGATTTCTCCTCACCATCTTCCGATAGCGATTTCTCTCCAACATTTTCTCCCAAATTCGAAGACATCGCCTCCGACGCCGCCGCAATTGCTGCCGCCACATCTATTGCCGCCGTCGCTTTATCTTTTAAATTTGAGGATGAATTCACAGCAACAGCATCCTTATCGTTGGTATCGTCGTCAGAGTCGTCGAAAGTATTCTTAAAAGGTAGCAATTTTGTTGCTCGACCTCTTGGAACATATGAGTTGGGGGGCAATGATGTAGTCGGCGATGTGGTTGGTGATGATACAAATGGCGAAGAAGATGTGGCACGTGGGATAAGAAGTGGGGAGGGGGTTGGAACCATATTTGATGTTAGGAACTCATTGGATTTTCGAGATTGTGTTGACGATAATAAAGGCAATGAATTTTGTGCTTTGAAAATAATTACCAATTAATAAACAACAATCGAAAAAAAAGTGAAATAAATAAAATAATTGTCGATTAATAAAAGATCGAAAGAAAATTAACATGAATAAAGAAATGTAAAGGTCAAACTAACCTGTTGATCCTATTGATTCCTCTGGTTTAATAGCTAATGAACTCTTCCAACTTTCGTATTGCAAGTTCATGCTGCGCGTATCAAGCATTTGACTAAAAAGAAACGATGACGGATTTTGCGGTGGTCTCTCAGACTTTATTGACGGTGTCATTACCGATATTTTTTCTTCTGGTGAAGTTAATGACGATTCATCATAAATTTTTTTTAACGCAGAATCCGCAAATTCCTTTACTTCACTAGCACTTGGTCTCTGATCTTTATCTGGGTGCCAACAACTTCGCATTAGTTTCGAGTAAGTCTCTAGCATATCTGTTGATATCGGTGGCCTGAGTCCCTCACAAATATCAATCATCAAATGGACGTCATGAGCACGATCGAAAAACGGTGGACACCCAGTTGTGATTTCCCACATAAGCATCCCTAGACTATAAATATCCGCTTTTTCGGTAAATTGACCACCCCGTAACACTTCTGGCGCTATATACGGCATGATTCCGAATATGGCGCCAGGTACTTTTTGTGGTGGCCCACGGAATCCCAGATCGGTTATGCGATTTGTACCTAGATTGCTGCGCAGGATGTTGCCAGAGTGTAAATCTCCGTGTACTAGGCCTTTTTGATGTATTCTTGAAAGGCCATTTGATATTTGGGAAATTATCATGAATTTGTCTTTCCAGGTTAATTTGTCTGCATTATCATGTAGATAGTTGCGCAAGTCACCTTGTTCCATATATGCCATTACTATTATGAGATTTCCGGTTGTTGGATTACGACTTAATCCATAGCATTCTACAATGAATCTAGTATCTCCTTTCATGCTTAGACACGTTTCAGCCTAAATTAAGAATCTCATTTAGACACACCAAATTATTACGAACGATAAATTTAAGAATTTTACCTCTTTAAAGAAATCTTCATCCGGATCCTTAAATAGATTCTTTAACGCCACAGCAATATTGGGCTGTCGAATAAAGGCTCCTCGATCTTTATCCCACCCAACAATTCTGCCACGCTGCCAAATAGCCGTGTAAATCTCCCCGAATCCACCTCTGGTTTTATACTGTACTAGAGTAAAATCTTCAAACGGAATCCACTCAACAATAAATCTCGGGATGGGTTTCTCCATCTGACATCGTTGTATAAATTTATCAATCAGCGGGACTCCGCTCGTCCACTCTTCAAATCCATTTCGTAACAACTCCTTCATACAATTATCACAATATATGGTGGAATAATGAAAATGATTACATAAGCTGCAGTAATGCTTCTCGCCTTTCTGTAACGTCAAATTATCCAATTCTTCTTTCTCGTAGAGAAATTTCAGTAGCCATGATTTCTCTTGTGGTGTGAGGTTTGATCGTTGTTCGATCGCTTGACTAATTTCTGTAAAGTTTGTAAAAGATTCACGAGATTTGTATAGAATTTCGTTTATGGTTCCTGCTATTACACTTGAACGGTATTGTTGTTGTGGTGGTGGCTGCTGTTGTGTTGGTGTGGGTGGTGTTGTTGTTGTTGATGATGATGATGCGGATGACGTGTTATGTTGAGAAGACTGAGTTGATGCGGATTCTGGACTATTGGATATTGATGATGTCATGTTTTCTATATTCGTTTCTAAATTTTTAACCGAAATATTCAATTTTACCGGTCGTTTTGTTTGTTTATTCCCTTTGCTATTTAGATGATTATTCTGACCGGTTGTTTGTATATCTCCCAGAAATTTACGATAATGATGTTGTACAATAAGTTCAATAATATATACCGATACGTATATCTTAAGGATTTTTTTTAAATAATCAATTTAATCTACTACGATTGTCTATGTTTCTCTCAGAGACCCACTTAATTATAGATGACGTATGGGAGAGTAAATGAGCGGGTTAATTTGGTTCTCGAACAAGAAAATACATGAATGTACAATGTGGATCCTAAAAAGTACATGTACATGTATTATTAAGCGTTAGCACTAGCATGAGTTATTTACATGTATTTGCTTTAAAATCTTAGCACAGCAGTGCGGTGTATTTAAAATTCAGTTTCTTTTTGTCTCACAAATATTAATATCACCAAAATATTAAGACTAGCCCAATGGTTTTATATCGATATGTTACAAAATCATTATCAGTTTACGCACGTATGTGGTTTTGTTTTCAAAAGAAGTAGTGACAAGTTGTCTAAACATAAAATAAACACTTCCATGTATGTCTAACACTTTTGATCGATTTTTTGGGATATGTGGCGCCGTTGGTGTGTAATTGTAATTGTGCATATGGATCATCGTTGTGTAACAAAACGTAAACTTGACGAAAATATCGACATGCAATTTTAAAAGTTTAGTCTACGTACATGTATGTATCTTTTGGTATACATGCGCTTTATTAAATTTCCATTTTGAGGAATTAAATAGGATATTTTTTATGCCCGTGTATATACGTGTACTGTTAACGTGATGTATTACACACAGGTCTATTGTGAGGAGTAGACTTAAATTTCCTTTTTTTAATAAGGTAGTTGAATATAACCGATGTTACATGTATTTTCTTCAACTAATAATACATTTCTTCCTTTTTTCTCTTGCACGATGAAGGAGGTTATGAATAGCAATATGAAGCTTCTTGCAAACTTGAATATCGTTATACATTGAGTAGTAAAAAGATTTTGTAAAACGAAACAATTGCATCGGCATTTACCATAATTTTTGGAGTTATCGCCGCCATTATTCTTTTGGATCATTGTCTGACACAAATAGACATTTTTAAAATAATAGAAACTCATAACAATGTTTTTTTTTTGCTTACTAAAATCTATCAATACAAGTGCATGTACTTGAAAATGCATATTCTTTTTTAGTAACAGTACACCGGTTAACAATGGACCACAATTTTTATACCCTTTTTGAATTAATAGTAAATCTTTAATGAAGTGTCAATTATTTAAACAAAATATCTATTTTAATTTTTTGGCGTTTACGAGAACGCACGAAACGACAATACGAATAACAATAAAAAACGTTATAAATCTTGCATTTTTATCAATAAGCTACCACTTGAACAAAATTATTATACATGAGCACTTATCTACCGCTTTAAATACAATTATTGTAATAAAATGTAATAGAGAAGAGGAAACCAAATGTAAATTGATAATTACGTTCAAGTAAAGACAAACAACTGTTAAATTCTCAAAGTTTAGTATCATTTATTATAACGTGAGAGCGTTCTTGGTATTAGAATATTTGTTGCTTATTACACATCCACGCTCACACAAACATATACTGTAATTCGAAGAATTTTCCCTTTAGACAAGATTTTATTTTTACTCTTCGAATACTTTTTAAACATACATACGTCTAGGTTTTACATGTACATGTATGTAGCGGCTATTTTGAGAACATAACGATAACGATAACCGATTATCTAAAATTAAGATTTTGAATGAGTACATTTACATACATGTACATGTTGGAAAATGGAATATTCGTTCGTAGTACATGTGCACAGGAAATATTGATCATAGAAATATGATTTCATTACTTCTTTGTTAAGAAATCAAAGACAACAATGATGATTCAAAACGCCATAAGGGATTATTCTATCTTCCAACAATTAAAAAGGCTAAGCGTATTTATATCAAAAAATATTTTCTTTTTGCACGTTAGCGAAAAGATAGTAAACGATTTATAGACTTCTGAAAATTGAGATGCTCAAATACAACATATTCTTGATTTCTGTTATCAGACTTGGGTATTGGAACACAACGAGATTTTTTAGTTAATTATACCGACATGTTATGTGTTATTAGTTCAGCGACTAATAGAAAATAGTTTCTTTTTTCCAGAACTCAGCAGAATCAGAAAGTTTATACTCTAAATGCTCTCAAAATTTTCTTGCAAAATTTATTTCAAGGAAATAGATTAAATCATAATGGTATTTGAGTTAATAACTTCGACATGGCATTAAAATTGTGTCAAAAAGCGCATGATAATGGTCATGCTTGAATAAAGAACTTTTTGAAGGCTTTAATTATTTTAGTTGATAAATAAAATAGTATTTTATGGTGATTCATTTCATATTCTTATAATTGAAATTTGATATTTATGGCTGCGATCAGAAATTATCGTATTAAGACTGTTATTATTTCGAGCTGATCCTAAAATCTTTTTCGGCGTTAGACTCAGAATTCTAATCAGATTTCTTTTAACTTTTTAATATGATTATATAGTATCCCTTTAAGAAAAGTAACCTAGGTGTTTGCATGCACCAAAAATGTTTTTGGTATGCCACTACTTTCTAATGCTGATTTTCGATTTCAGATGGTTATTAAAAATTCTAAAACATGACAAAAGCGTGTAGTCACCTGTAATTTGCAACAGGTAACAGGGTTTTTACAGGTTTCTCTGTAACCACCCGTAGAAACTAAAATTACAGGTGATTATAAGGTTTACAGATCAAATTTCTCATAATAATATGAAGTAAATATTCAATTTTCTTGAATTACTTGCATACAAATTTTCTTATATATATTAAATTAATCTGAAGGATTGTCATAGTTAATTAGTTAATTAATCTGAATTATGGACTGAAGAGTTGAATATAAATATAATTTTGATATTATTTTATTATTCAGATTTAATTTATATATTAATTGAGTTTCTGAATTAAATTAAATGTCACAACTATAAATAATACTTTTTCGAGATTTAATATGAAATAGCATAATTATATATTGTATTTATATTACTTTCTTTGAGTTTTATTCTTTTCCTTTTTAGTTCTCTTTATTCTCTCATCTTTATTTTCTTTATCATTTACTCTCTTATTTCATATTTTTATTTTCTTATAATTTATTATTTGTAATATAATATCTTAAGTTTTTTATTTTATAATAATAATAAATATAAAATCTTAAATATTTCTTTGTTTAATAATTTTTTAACTTATAACATAATTTTTTTTATAAGAAGCAAATTATTTATTATATAATATTTTTAATTAGAAGTCATATTTATTATAATTAATAAAGTTAAATATTATTAATATATATATATATAATTATATATAATATAATAATTAGCTTATTTATATATTTACAGTTAATATTATAAGAATTCAAAACTTTAATATAATATATAGAATAATAAAAAATCATAAAAATTATTTAACAATTTATATATTTTCTTTATTTCTTAAATTATTAGATTCAACATTCAAATTTGAATGCTAAAATTTATAAATCTATATCTGATTTATTTTTATTAAAAATTAAAATTTTTTTTAAATATTTAATTTTATTTTATAAATTAGTGCAAAAAGATTTGTATCTTAATATAAAAATTAATAATTACTTTTAATAAAAATTATTTAAATTTTAATTAATCTTTAAAATTTTTTTGTATTAAAAAAATGATTTAAATTAACTTTTTATACTATTTAACTATTTTATTATACTTTAATTTACTAATAAATAAAGTATTACTTTACTAAAAAAACTAAAATAAAATTATTTTTTTAAAAAAAAGATATTTTAAATATTATTATTAATTTGCAATATTAGAATTTTAAATTAAATAAGCAGATTATTTTAGATTTGTTAAATATATTTTTTAAATTTTATAAAAATTTAATTAATATTATAAAGATATTAAGATTTAAGATTAAGTAATTAAATTATTTATTCTATAATTTTTATATTAATTTTAATCAAATTTTATATAATAAAATTTAAGCAACAATAATTGAAAAAAGTTATTATTAGTAAAATTTTTTTATAAAAGATATATAATAAAATTTTTATATTTAAATAAATTTTAATATCTAATAACTTAATTAAATAAGACAAAATTAAAATTTTATTAATATTTATCTGAGATATAAATCTTTTTATATCAATTTATATATTATATAATAATACTTTAATTATTATAAAAATAAAATTATTTATAAATTAAAACTATATAATTTTAAAAATTTTTATTTTTATTATTGAATTTTGATAAGTTTTTAAATTTTAAGCTTGACTTTCTAATTTTAATATAATATTATAGAATATATTATATAAAATAACTTTTATTATAATAATTTTTATAAATTTATTAGTAAATTTTATTTTTAATTAGTAATAAAAAAATTTTTTTCTTTAAAAATATAAATTAAATTATATTAATTAATTATATTTATAGTATTATTTTAACTTAGAAACATTAAAAAAGTAATTTTAAAAAATTTTAGATAAATATATAAAAATAAATTAAAAAAATTTAAGTATTCAGAAATAATTTATAAATTATATATTATTATTAATTATATTTATTTTTATAATTTTTTTAATAAAACTTAATATAAAAAAATAAAATCAGATTTAATAAAGTATTAAAGTTTATATTATTAAAAATAATATAAATAATCTTATTATTTTATTATAAATAAAATTATTTATTATATTATAAAAAATATATTATTTAATTTTAATATAATTTTATATTTTTTTAATTAAATAATTACAAATATATAAACTTAATTATATTTATAATTAGTTTAAGTTTTTTATTATTTAATAATATTTATAATAAGATATATATTTTAAATAATTTTATTTTTT